CTAGTTCAAACAACTCCATAAGTGACTTTGTGAAAAGGGTGCAAAAGGAAGCCTGTGTAGGTTAGTCTAGGCCAGTGGCAGCGAGCCTATTAGAGCTCTCAGTGATGCAAACAGCCCTGACCATTGGTTCACCTCTACTAGCAGTGTCCCCTCAGCTTACTGTACACCTGAATACCTGGAGGTCTTGTTAAGAGTTGTGATTTGGTAGCCCTGAAGCCTGAAGCTTGCTCCATCCACACCCAATGATGTTTCTGCATAGGTTGAGTAGCAGGCTTTTCTTGAACAATAGGTTTCATCTAGACTGCATTCCTTCTTTTAAGCCTCTGATTTAATAGTTTTGAGGTGGGGCAGGCGGGTGGCTCACACCAGCCTGGAGTACACGTGATTTCCAGGCCAACCTGAACATGGCAAGATCCTTGTCTCCAGAGGGAAAAGAACAGCCAGGTGTGGTAGCACATGCCTGTAATCCAGCACTTGGGAGGTGGAGGCAGGAAGACAGTTGCAAGTTTGAGACTAGCCTGGGCAGTAAGTGAAGCTCAAGGCTGGGCCAAACTGCATAAGCCAGACTCTCAAAAAAAAAAAAGAAAAAGGGGGCTGGTGAGATGGCTCAGTGGTCTAAAGCACCTGCTTAGAACAAACTAAGCCAAGCAAAGCACAGGGACCGCGGTTCAATCCCCCAGCACCACGTGCCAGCCAGCCCCGCCACCTGGTGGGCTGAGCTGGTCACACACACACACAAAATTAATAAATAAATAAAAATTATAAAAAAAGAAAAAACACAAGTTCTGGGGTGGAACCTGGGCACTGGTACTTGTTTGATCTCCTATTGTGATTTTTATGGGCAGCCTGAATTTGGGAACCACTGGTCTGTGAAGAGGCTCTTACTTCACTGAGTACACCTGAAGGTAGGGGCCTCTCTGCCCACCCACTCAGACCAACACACAGTCAAGTATTTCTGGCACTCCATGCCTTAAAATCTACATATGTTTGGCAGATTAGATGGCTTGAGGTATTTTAGCCTTGACCAGTGGTTCCCAAATCTGATTTTAAATAATAATTTCGCAGTGATGTTGTTCTTTTAAAATTAACCATTAAAGTTTATTTAATATAAAGGTTCAAGCAATACAGAGGAGGCTGTGATCAATTTCCTTTTACTTATTACCTGGACTTAACAATCATAATTCATATCTAATCCAGTTTTCTCTCTTTTTTTTTTTTTTTTTTGCGGAACCGAGGATTGAACTCAGGCCCTTGCGCTTACCAGGGAAGTGCTTATTCTACTGAGCCATCTCCCCAGCCCCTCCAGTTTTCTCTATACCTCCACCTGCCTCTCTCCTGTGGATGGGGGTGGGTATGTGCGATTGAAGCCAGGGCCTTCAGATTGAACTGCATCTCAGACTTTTATCTTAAAGGATTTTACTAAGTTGCAGAGGCTGGCTGGAATTTGTGACCTTTCTTCCTCAGCCTCCCAAGCCCCTGGAATTATAGGAGCTTGCCACTGTGCCTGGCTCCCTTGATTATTTTATTTACTTATTATTTTGTTGTTGATGCAGGGTCTTTCTATGCAGTTTGGACTCTTAGTGAACCTCCTGTCTCAGCACTGTGATTATAGGCATGTGCCAACACGCCTGATTTTGAGGCCAGCATGGCACTCCCGGGGTTCCAGAGCTGGCATGACACGTGGTACCAAGGATTAAACTTGAGACCATGCACTTGCCAGGCAGGTGCTTAGACCAATGAGCTGTCTCTCCAGCCCTCCCCTGAATTATTTCAAAATAAATGCCAGCGCTCATCATATTTCATGCATATCTTTATTAATGCAACATAATTAATTATCACATCTTTCAAATTTCATGTTAATATCTAGTTTAGGTTCAGATTTTCTCACTGTTGCTCTATTTTGTTTTTTTCAGGCTGGGAGTTACACCCAGGCCCTTGTACATGGTAGAAAAATTCTGTGTGTGTGTGTGCATGTGTGCGTGCATGTGTGCGTGTCTTTTTCAGGCAAGGTCTGACTATATAAGTTCAGACTGGCCTTGAGCTCACTTTGTAGCCCAGGCTGGTTTCTAATTTACAAAGATCCTCCTGCCTCAGTCTCCCAAGTGCTGAGATTACAGACTTGTGCCACCACTCCTGGCTAGGAGAATACTTTCATCAAACAGCCACATTTCTAGCCCTGATTATCAACTTATAAAGTTTCTGTTTTACCTTCTCACCTATTTTTGTTGTTGTTACTCAAGACTCATTGAGACTGATACTTTGTGATTGATAATGCACCTATTTTTTTGTTTGTTTATTTGCAGTTTGCTAAAGAAATCAAGCTATATGTCTGAAAGTTTCTGAGTCTGGATTTGGATAATTAATCTTTCTAGTGATATTTAATGTGCTTTCTCATGTCCTATGGATTAATTGCTTGAGCCTATTTGAGTTCTGATCTCTTTAACTCTGAAAGTCTTACTACCTGATACTTCCCACATGTATGTCAAATATGCAGCATGCATACAAACCCATGATTGTTTTCCATTTCAGTGTAACACTATAGGCCTCTTATTTCTTGTGAGGCTTTATTTCAAGCTCCTCGAACAAGAGTGTTAGTGATGGAATTTAGGCATATTTTTTATTAACAGAAATCTGAATCTGGGGCTGGTGAGATGGCTCAGTGGGCTAAAGCACCTACTTAGAACAAGCTTAGCAAAGCACAGGGACCGCAGTTCAATCCCCCAGCACCACATGCCAGCCAGCCCCGCCCCCTGGTGGGCTGAGCTGGCCCCCCCCATATAAATAAATTTTTAAAAAAATTAAAAAAAAAATCTGAATCTGCTGACTTGAGACTGTTTTTCCTGTATCTTTGATCTCTGCAACTCTAAAAGTCTTAACTTTCTCATATCCTAACACTTAACAATATTGTTCTTTTTAAATTTTTTTTTAATTTTCAACAAGACTACAAAATAGCATTAAAACAAAAAATTACAAATGATACAGAATTTCAGTAAATAAAATAATATAAATTTTACAATATTTGTTGTATTGAATAGTGTCTTCAAATTAGTTGTTCATATTACCAGATATATGCATGTAAAATTGGAAGAAAATAAAAGTTATAAGAAGTTAAGACGAAATAAAAAGGAAGGGGCCAGGGAGATGGCTCAGTAGAATAAGCACTTCCCTGGCAAGCACAAGGGCCTGAGTTCAATCCCCAGTTCCAAAAAAAAAAAAAAA